ACCAAATCCATTTTGGTCGCAAAAGTTAAGTTTTTTAGCAACTAAAAAACAATTAGTAGCCAAAAGTATAGAATTGGCGACCAAAAAATATTTTTAGTCCCAAAGTGGTCTTTTTTTTATTATTTAGTAAATAATTTAGTTTACATAAATTATGTTCAAAAAATAATTAGTTTATTACATAACTTTATATTAATATAGATGTATGTACTATATAAATAATATATGTTGCATATATAATCATTGGTGCTATAGAGGTGTAGTGGGAAGAGTGTGGTATATAGGTTTATGTGCGGAGTTGGCGGTTCGAGTCTCGCAAGAGCGGATCAATTGTTCTACAACGAAATTATCGTCAGAATGGCACTTGAATAGCGTCACGAATAGTGCTACCATACATTAAAGTGTCACTAAAAGTTTTAGTCTTGATGGTGTAATGACACTTATAAGTGTCACTAATCTTTTTTTAATGGCGCTTATAGTGCCACAAATAATATCTACCATGACATTAAAATGTCATTGAAAATTTTAGCACGATGGTGCAGTGGCACTTGCAAAGTATCTACCGTGGCACCGATAAAGTGCACTTGTTCAAAATGCCACAAAACCAAAAAATATCATTAGAAGAATAGTTTTGTGGCACTTTCAAATGTCACTAAACTAAGAAAATGTTTGTAGTGTACTAAATTTTGAACTTAAAAAATAAGTTTAGTTCGCCCAAAAGTGGTTATTATTTTTTTTATTTTTTTTTTTTTTTTTTTTTTTTTTTTTTTTTTTTTTTTTTTTTTTTTAGTCAATACTCATGCCAGGGGGAGAACTAAAATCCTAAGCGCAAGAATAAATTTTTTGGCGACCAAGAATCTTGGTAGCTTGAATGATCTCGGTGACCAATCCAACTGTTGGTCGGCCAAAAGTTAAGTTTATTTAGCAACTAAAAAACAATTAGTAGCCAAAGTAGTAGAATTCGAGCCAAAAAATATTTTAGTCACCAAAAGTGGTCTTTTTTTATTTTACTAGTAAAATAGTTATTTACATAATAGTTCAATAAATATTATGTTCTAACATATACTTATTTAATATAGATGATTTTTTTTTTTTTTTTTTTTTTTTTGGATCGGCAAAAGAGAAGCTTTATTGATGGAAAAACATAACGAGTATGATAACTTACATCAATAAAGAAGAGGGTGCAAAAAGTATCACAGCGAAACATTTAGATCCCAACTAGGTTGGCACCTAGATGCACACCAAATCATCTGTTAGCACACACTCGAAGCTCCAAGTTGGTGAGAAACCAACATTCAGAGTGGAACAAAACAAAACAAAAACAAAAAAGCAATAAAAAAAACTCCTCTGCTGGAGCAAAAGACAGAACACCATTCAACCACACCACAGATAAGCCTATGAGTCCATGTCAGCCCAAAGCACAAGACAGAGTCAACCACAAAGCAGCAGACAAACAAACAAGCCTATGAGACCATAACACAAAACAGATAGGCCTGTGAGTCCATTCAACCTCAAACAGCAGACATTGAGACTCCAGCAGGAGCACCACACAACGGCAACCCAGAATCCTATTGCATACTTGAACCAGTAGCTGACCATAACATACTAGGACCTTGTCCAAAGCCAAATTATAATGCATACTTAAACCTTTGCCATCAGCCCAGAAACACACACAATCTGCCACAAACAGTAGCCCATAGACCAGCAGAAGCACACCATGGCAGTCCAACATAGCAAACCACCAACAAACTAACGACAGACCAACAGCAGACCAGGACAACAACCATAAACCCTGCCAGATCTGGAGATGGAGAACCAGGACAACAGAGCAGAAGTCCAAGTAGACCAACGGCATACCAAAGGCAAGGCACCAGCCCACCCACACACAGCAGAGATCATACCAGCAATGGCTCAGCCCACAACCATCTCAGCAACCATGCTCACCTTAACATATTAGAAGTCACTATGAATTTCATAGCTGAAGCTGCCCAGCAGAACAAATCAGATTAGCCTAGCAAGACAAGATGCCCCAACCGATCGGAGCACACACTGCAAACACACTATAGCATACCAACAGACCAATAAATTCATACACACAACACCCCAAAGTGACACTAACAACAAAACCAATAAATTTATACACACAACCAAACCAGCTTCAACTGAGTGTCATCCAGAACTGCAGAGAAGATGCAACAGAGCTCAACACTTAAAGCTAAACAGCTCCAACAGACTACATACTACATACTACCCTCATCTCTTTTATCCATCAGCTAAATCAATTACGAGCATATAACACTAATAATATAACAAACTCCTTTGCCTACCAGCTGAATACATCAGGACATCAATACAAACCCAGAGATCAGATAAGAACATCCTCAGATCAATTACATGCAAAAACCAACACAGACCAGCTCAGAACAGTTAAGAACATCCTCTGATTTGACGCCAATTGAAAGTTAAATCATCAACTGAAGAGGGAAGGTCCTTAATACATGCTTTCAGCCAAAGTGCTGCTCTGATTTTGATATTTTCACTCAAGCCAGAGAGATTAGGTTGAGCCTCTGCAAAAACACATTCATTCCTAAGTTTCCAAAGCGACTAAAGAACAATAAGGGGGATGTCTCTCCAAATTAACCTATCAATATTCTTGAAATTGACAGCCATCCACCATTGGAGGAGATCATCCACTGAACCTTGAATGCACCAAGAGAACCCCCACTTATTAATTATAGACGACCAAATTAACAAAGAAAATGGGCAATGAAACAAGATGTGGACAGTAGATTCAGGTTCAGAACGACAGAATGGGCAAATGAAGGAAGCAGAAGCATCTAAAATTCCAATTCTGTGCATAAATACTGCTGTCTTGATTCTGTTTTTCCAGGCCAGCCAACTAAAGAATGAAACCTTAGGGGGGACAACCCCATTCCAAATATGCTTACAAATTTTAAAGTGAGGCCCTAGAATAGAGCTAGTAGCAGAGTAGAGAGAGGACACAGAAAATACACCAGGACTTGCAGATGCAGTAGCCCAGATAAAATGATTAGGCCTGCCAAGTGATAGAGAGGGAGCTGTTGATAGTAGTCCAAGTAAGTTAGCTTCTTCATCCACTTCCCAAGTGAAAGGCACTCTCCTAAGAGGAAAATTCCAATTGTTTGGGCTGGTTTTTCTTGCCATGAATTGTTGTAGAGAGCCTTCTTTATCTATTGAAAGATTAAAGAGGAGGGGAAAGATAGACTTAAGACTAGAGCTGCCACACCATCTGTCATGCCAAAATTTAATTCTGTTTCCATCCCCCACTTGGATTTGGCAGTTATCTATATAGAAATTGTAAATAGTTGTGCTATGATTCCCAATAGATAAAATGTCCTTCCAAACTCTAGAATGTTTGTAAGAGAGCTTTAAAGGTGGATGCCAACTAGCCTCATCAATATTGCATTTGCTGCATATAGCTCTCCTCCAAAGAGAGTTGACTTGAGTTGCAAATTTCCACCACCATTTGAGCAATAGACAAGCATTAACATCTCTTATTCTTTTGATACCCGGGCCCCCTTGGTCAAAGCTTTTAGTTTCCTCCCCCCATTTCACTAAATGAACCTTCTTTTTAAGATCATGACTGCCCCATAAAAAAGCTGCCTCAATCTTTTCAAATTCTCTTGCCACACCTTTTGGCATCTTAAATAAAGAAAGAAAGTAAACTGGTAAACTAGATAGGGTAGACTTGATTAGAGTTAATCTACCTGCAAAAGATAACAATTTCCTCTTCCACCCTGAAAGTTTAGATCTGATCTTGTCAAGCACAGGCTTCCAGGTAGATTTTTTTACCAGGATTGGCACCTAGAGGCAGTCCCAGAAATTTCAAAGGAAAGCTGTGAACTTTACAGTTAAGAAGATATGCAAAGGAGAGCAATAAAGCATCAGACACACCGACACCACACACCACGCTTTTGTGATAATTAATTCTTAGACCAGATAGAACTTCGAAGCATTTAAGAATTCTTTTGATAAGTACCATTTGATCCCAATCTGCCTCAGAAAAGAGAATTGAGTCATCTGCAAATTGTAGATGAGACAAAAGGACATCTTTAGATCCAACATGAACACCTCTAAGAATGTCAAGATTAATTGCTCTGACCAAAAGAATGTTTAACCCCTCAGCCACAATATTGAATAAGAAAGGTGATAGCGGATCGCCCTGCCTAAGCCCTCTTTGTGATGAGAATTCCTTAGTTGGAGCTTCATTCACAAGAATGGAAATCCTGACTGTAGACACACAAGTTTTCATCCAAGAAATCCATTTATTTCCAAACCCAAAACTGGACAGTAGTGAGAACAAGAATTCCCAGTTAACCGAATCAAAAGCTTTTTCAAAATCTAGTTTTAAGATCAAACCATTCTTGTTGGTCTTCTTCCATCCATCCACCACTTCATTGGCAATGAACACCCCATCAAGGATGTTCCTTCCACCTACGAAAGCAGTTTGAGTTTCACCAATAATTGAGGATAGAGCTGGCTTCAGTCTATGTGTTAACATTTTTGCCAAAATTTTGTAAAAGGAGCTTACAAGACTAATGGGTCTGCAATCAGATAGGCCGGAGGGATTTTCCAAACTTAGGAATTAAACTAATGAAAGTACTATTAATGCCATATGTTAGTTTGCTATTTGAGTGGAAGTCTGCAAAAAATTGCATGATCTCAGGCTTCATAATCTTTCAAAATTTCTAAGAACACAACAGATTGAAACCATCGGGGCCTGGAGCTTTGTTATTATTACAATCCTTAATTGCAGCCAACACCTCAGCTTCACTGAATTCTACAACAAGATGATGAGAAACATAGTCTGCCTCAATGGTGTTGAATGACCCTCCCAAGACAGGTCTTTTGACCCAGTCCTCAGCAAACAACTTCTTGAAGTGTTGATAGACCTCTAATTTAACCCTGCTAGGATCCTCATAAGACACCCCATTAACTACAATAGAGCTGATCATGTTTCTACTCTATCTGGTATTAGCAAAGACATGGAAAAATCTAGTATTCTTATCCCCGTTTATAGTCCAGTTCAATCTGGATTTTTGGTGCCAGATCCACTCCACCATTCTAAGCAAATGCCACATTTCACCTCTGACCACTCTTCTTCTTGTCCTCTCAGAATCAGCCAAAAGTCTTTCCTCTGCTAAGATGTCTAATGCATGCAATTCCTCCTCTAAAGCCTTGAGTTTGGATGAGACATTTCCAAACACCTCAATGTTCCATTTTTTTAATTCTAGCTTTAGCTGCTTTAATTTTTGAACAATTTTGAATCCGGCCCACCCTGCAACAGTAGTGTTGCTCCGAATGTTAACAAAGAACTTAGAGAAACTTGGATGGAGAGTCCAAGCATTGAGAAACCTGAAAGGCTTGGGGCCCCAGTCTCTTTCATCTTCCATCAACAACAGAGGGCAGTGATCAGAAACTAATCTAGGCAGCCCCCATAACTTCATTCTGAAGCTAATCAACCATTCTGGGCTGAGAAGTACTCTGTCTATGCGGCTCCATTTCTTATATTCCTGGGCATTGCACCAAGTGTATTTCCTTCCATGAAGGGGTAAGTCATGGAGCTCACATTTCTCAATAAAATCATTAAAATGTTTCATTCCCATGCCTCTCATGGAGTAGCCAACCCTCTCTCCTATATGCCTAATTTCATTGAAGTCGTCACCCATGCACCAAGGAGCAGGAAAGTGGTCCTTAAGCTTGAGGATACCTGCCCAAAAAGATGATCTAGCAGTGGTGTTATATAGACATTAGTAATGAATTATTACTCTTTTGGAATCAAATTTTTTGTCTCAAAAAATAAAACATTTTGAAACCAAATTATTTTGTCCCTAAAAGTCTATTTATTAGTGATATTTTCAAAATCTTGTCACTAAAAGCCTTATTTTTGACTTCTCAGAATTACCTTTTGGCGACTATCCTTACGGCGATAAAAATTGATTCCTAAATGTCTTTTGTAACAAAATTTTTACTTTTAAAGATGAAAAAAATTGATTTCTAAAAATCTTAAATTCTCCGCAAACAAAAGAACATCTATATAATTCAAATATTTGTTAAAAATCTAAATTCATTTTTCTATTAGATTTTGTTATGAACTAAATTCAAATAATTATTAAAAAAAAAAGAAGCCTAATTAAATTAAAAATCCTCCAAGATTTAAAAAAAAAAAAAGATCCATATATATTGGATTAAGTAGATAAATATGAGATTTAATTTTTTTTAAAGATATGAATTTTATTTAATAATTAGATCATACCTAATATCGAGTCGGGCTTAAGATGAAATAGACTCTCACTACGTAGTGCAAACACTGGTCGAATCCAACCTAATCCCTCTATGCCCACCCATATTATGAAAAATGATCCAGACCCCCTCTAGGGGTGACCCACACGACCCCCTCCGGCTTTGATTGGCCAAATTTTTTTTGTTTTTTCTTCTCCTCCTCCTCTTCCAATCACCAACCCCCACGTGTGTGTGGGGGGTGGTGGGGGTTGGTTATTGGGGGGTCTCAATCACTCCTTCCCATATTATATAGTGCTTTCGAGGAGTTATTTATTTTATTTTGTTTTATTTTAATTCTATATTTTATATATTATTAGAGATTAGCACATGCGATGTGTGTGCAGTTTAAATAAACAAAATATTTATTATATACTGCGTGTCACTTTAGTGATAATTTTTTTTTTTTTCAATAAACTCAAGATTCAAGTCTCACTCCTGCCATTTGTCTAACTTTTTTTATTTGTTTTAAATAGAAAAATAATGAACACGTGGTATAAAGAGAAGTATGGAAAGGTTTGGATGCCAAGTCCATGATTCACTTAATATAATAGTCTAGATAAATGTGAATGGATTTTCTCCAAAAGCAACTAACTGGAGAGGTGTTGTTAAGCCTCGATAGGTTTATTTTGGGGCCTATTTTGATAATATGAATCGATCATCTTGTATGTGATGTCCCGAGTCTTGAACTTGAGCGGTATTGCGTAGTAAGATAGTTTGCATTACTTTCGGCGTTTTGTTTATCATTTTGGGTCGTTGAGATTTATTTTCTACTCTTACTAAACATCCCTTAACATTTTCGAGATAAAAATTTTGAGTTTTGAGCATTACAACTTGTTTTGGGATGTGAAATCAAATTCTAGATTTTCTAGGCAAAACTACTATTGCGGATTGGGCAACTGCTCGAGAGGAATCACACAGAGTGTGCTGGAAAATTTCTGGGCAAAATCGATCATGCAGATTTGGGCTCTGCTCGAGCGGATTTTTGTGAAAATTTTGGGATTTCTCTGGAGCAATCCGCTTGTGGAGGCATCAGAATCTGCTCGTGCAAATTGGGATTCCGCTCGTGTGAAATTTATACTGTTCGTGTGGATTTTGGTGCGCCTGTCTCGAATTTTGAGCTCTTTTCCTCAAAATTGATGCCACAAATGTATTTTGAACACTTTTTTGCCTCTCTCTCTCTCTGTCTCTCTCTCTCTTTCTCTCTCTATACTCATTTTTTCTCTTCCTTCTCTTTACAAGCACATTCAAATCCAAACTTCTCTCTAAAAATCTTCAAGAATTTGAGACGGTTTTTTTACACCAAATCGAAGAGGGTGAAGAAGGCGAAGTTTACATCGATTGAATCAAGTTTTCATCAATGTTGAACTTTAGGGTTTTCTTCTCCTTCCTCTTCCAAACTTGAGGTAGGGATAATCTTTAAGTTTTATATATATTTTCGCAAGTTTATGCTTGTTTGGAGTATTTTATACATGTTTTGATTATGATTTTGGGTTGATGAATCCTAGATGATATTAAAAGTGGATTTTCTCTATTATTTTTCATAGTTTTTGAAAGTATGAGCTGTGTTCTAAGGTATGGGTGTTGTTTTAAAAAAATCTTTACAAAAATGGAGCAAAAACCTAGTTTTGGTGAAAACCCTAGAATTTAGGGATTTAAAAAAAAAGTTAGGACATTGTGAAATTTATGCTTGATAAATTGTTATGTGAGTAAATGATGGAGGAAATTTCTATAGTTGTATCCAATGAGAATATTTCTTGAGAAAAATGAGAATTATTGATTTGGGAAGCTTAAGGAATAGCTTTATTGTTGTTTGTCTTGGAAAGACCAAATTTTAAGAATGATGATTAATATATGGAAAATGCATGTGTAACGCCCCAAAATAAATATGACAAACCCATCTCATTTGCGGAAATAGAATTGAAACAACATACTTTCATTCATCAGAGTTAATATACAAAATGTGACACATGTGATATACATTCATAAATATCCTATCCTAAATCTATAACATGTGCTACTAATTATCAAAGGAAGAAAGTTGAACATATATTTAAATACCCTAACGGCTTACATCTTTCTAAGTCATTTCTTGGTTACAACAAAATGAGTCTAACTCAATATAGTTAAAGCTCTTGGCTATACAAATTAAATACAACAAAAACGAGCCCTTACTCCAAGTCTCTCCAAGCTACTGTTTTGGCGGAGGCATGTCACCAGCACCTGAAAATGGTTTTTCTCAAGTAGGGCGAGCCAAAGCCCAGTGGAAACAATCTAACACACTATATAAGTCTTAACAAAGATATAAGCATGATATGGATGTCCAATGCCCATGATAAAATCATTTATGACTCTTTTACAAAACCAAGCCATGCCAAGCTTTATATCACAACTCATATTATCTCCATTCGTTTTGTCTCAATTCATTTTACTTCAACTCATGAGTCAATTCCATTCATTCCAGACAACCAAACTGAGGACACATCTCAGTAGGTCTCAAATCAACATAACTATCATAAAAATACTTCTACTTTCCATTTTACGAAAATTTCGTCCACAGGAATCGACATCCATGTATACGTGTGATTTTCGAGACTTTTACCTTGAACACACAGGCCAACTTAATTTAATGAAGTTTATCCCCCTTCTTCTCCCAAACATAGAATACATCACCTTTCTCCTCCCCAACATCATACATATACAACGTATTTAAAACACAATCATATTCAATAACAACCAACAAGAGATTAGTTTCAATTCACTTATTTCTCGTGAAATTTTTACAACAATCAAAGCTATCCTCCACCAATAACACAAAGTAGATATTTCTAAACAGATGTAAAATCTCAAAGACAGATAAATTATTCAAATTTCCATAGTTGAGAGGTAATACATACCCAACGTCACCATTTATATAAACGTCCATCTAATTTCATATTTCCGATGCCAATTTCATTTATTTATACAAAATAATTAATTGAGATAATTTTAGGGCAAACTTTCCTTCTTCTTTTTTTCCAACATCCGCTCCAAGTACCAAAATCAATTATCTAAATATAGCACAAGCTCATATTTACTCCCATAACCATTTCCAATACAACCATTCAAAACCTTTTTTTGATTTTAAATCAAAACCCTAGGTTTGTTTAAATCACCTCAAATCCCAATATTTCTCGCACATCAACAAATAGCTAAATTAAAACCCATAGAAGAGCGTAGAAAGTCCCTACCTCGAAGTTAGAAGTCGAGCGAGCAAGCAAGGAGGAAACTTCAAAGATGCTCAAACACAACTCTATTCGGATAGAAATGTAGCCCTTGAGATGCCCTACCTCTTTAACAAAATGAGTAGGGTAGAGAAACCACTAAATCTAGGTAAAAATATAGAGAGAGCGAGAGTTTTAGAGAGAGAGGCTCTTAGATCTAAGGTTTTGAGAGGAATGGATGTGAAAAAGTGATGTAAAAAGGTGCTACTGCGAATTGATAAACGCACAGTCCGCTCGAGCGCAAGAAGTGACGCTTGAGCGTCCAATGTAATAAGTTGTTCTGCTCAAGTGCAAGAAATGACGCTCGAGCGCATAATGCACGTTTCCAGTAGTTTTGCAAACAACAAACCAACGCTCGAGCGCAATAAGGGCCGCTCGAGCGCCCATCCGCTCGAGCGTAGGAAACATCGCTCAAGTGTAGAAAACACTGTCCCAGTAGTTTTGTAGACCTACAAAAGCACTGAAAGTTTGCAAAGCTTGCTCGAGCGCAAGAAGTGCCGCTCGAGCGAAAGACCAAAAATCTGGGCAACACAAGGTTTGAAAATCAAGCGACCAACTAGTCCCAAACACAACCACAACAACCCAAAAGCCAAATTCAAGTAAGAATAAGGGCAAACGATGACGAACAACATTCGGAAACCATAAAACCCAAGTCCAGAATATCAAATGGGTCGGGTCAAAACCGGGGTCGCTATAGCATGAATGATGTTATTGTTATATTATCTCTTGGAAAAAATGTATTATGATGTTACATTGATAAAGGATGTGGAAGTTGATCACAATGGGAGATTGTGTGGTAGAAATTGGAAATGGAACTATATTAATGCATTGTTAAGTCTTGCATTGCCATTCCATTTAATCATTGTTGTAATTGATTTTGAATCCTGCATTGAAAAAATATTGATTTGAGAAATGAATTGTTTTGTAAAATAAGATCATTTTGATTTGTTTTGGGGTAAATACATTGGTAAGTCCAGATAAGGGGTGTAGTTAGCATTCATTAAGTTGGCCTGAGTGTTCATGATAAAAAACCAAAAACACGTGCGGAGGAGATACCACGTGCCTTCCGGTTAGCAGCCGGTAAAGTGGCGATTGGTAGTGCTTGTTATGTCTACTTGTAGACACCAACCTAGGTATTACCTGAGTTGTATTTGCCATCCCTTGAACT